TATTCTCTGTCAGCATATATATTTGTAAAATCTGTGTAAAATTTACATAAGAAAAAGACTTGAGAACAGAAATCTATAATCGCTTTTGTACTACATAATACAAGTGATTTCCTAGGCTCATTAAATTACTTGTTACAACTACACAATACTTTATGCAAATTAAAAATAAAATATAAACATTCACGTGAATCATTGATGCGTATCGCAGTATAACGAAGACATAAATATTATCTGCAGTATTTATTATGCAAATTTATATGTTTTTAATTTTTTTATTAGAGAAAATGAGCAAAATGAAAACAAAAACGAAAGAATACATAATAAAAATAATAAAAAAAAATTTCGGAATGATTTTAACATTTTAAATAATATTTTTTAATTGCATTTAAAATACACTTAGCCCCAGCTGTACACCTACGACTATTGATAACAACTGAAGTTGGCTGTGGAGAAGAATCTCAAACATCAAATTATTCGCTTATACCGAACCAAAACGAAACTTAACAATTAATTATAAATAATTATAATAAATGATTAAATTTTTTACTATTCTGTTGAATTATTGTTTTCTTATTAAACATTTGGGAACACTTGTTTTCAAAAGCCTCCAGAAGAAAATAATTTTTTTGTGGATATATATGTATATATATATATATAGCGACTTTCGGCCGAGCACCTCCTCCAATTTGTGGTTTTGCGTCTTGAGGCTTTTCCAACAAATGGAGGGACCTGCAGTTTATACAAAGCCACCTCCGAACGGCTGATGTTTTGTTTACGAGGATCCCTTATTTCATGTCCGAAATACACCCGATAGGGTAGACATTCCCTGCCGAGGGCCGACCGCAATTAGAAAAAAAGTAAATTAATTTTTATTTAAATTTTATTTTCCATAACTTTTTTGGATGTTAGTGGCACCAGACTCGGGTTCAAAGTCTTCGGAATGTTAGTACGCAATGCTAGCGACTCGGCTAACGCAGCTGCTTTGTTGATATATAAGGTCAAGTAAAAATACATCCATTCTCTTTACCATATCTTGAATTAACCGATTTACTTATGTCAAATATGTAACGTTCTCTCAGAAACCATTGTGTCTATTGGCAATTAATTTTGACATTAGATTATCATTTGCTTCTTTTGATGTCAATTCTTCACCAGCCAAATCATTCGCCATAGAGAGAATCAGATGGTAATCACTTGGTTCGTGGTACGGACTATGAAGTGGATGCATAGGAATCTCCAAAAAAAAGCTCTCGGTGCACTCGATGTGTGTGTTCTGTCGCGTCATGCGATAACTTTCTTCAGAAGGTTCTATTGCTTACACTACAGGTCCGAATTAAGAGTTCGACCGTAGTGGTACAGCTGAATAATTCCTTGCCAATTCCATCAAACACCCAACAAAACCTTCCTGGCTTTCAATCCTGGCTGGGAGAGCATTTGTGGCGGCTTATTGTCCTTCAGTTACGACCGCCTTTATTTGATTTTGCTATAAGTGATCTACGTTTTATCATCAGTCACCATCCGCTTCAGCAAATGGTCCATTTTATTACTATTTACAATAGCAGCGATTTACAAATGAAAATTAAGTCCACGTAATTTTTTTCGCGTGAAATCATTTGACACCCATGCGTTGAGCTTCTCTGTGTTTTCAACATTTTCAAAGTGACTTCAAACTGTTTCCTGTGTACGAAACATTGCGCGCATGATGGTAAGACTCGACGATTTCCCTTATTCTAGCGACATTTTCGACCATTTTGATAATTGGCGCATCTTTTTCATCCAAATAATCGAAACGAAATCGAGGAAACCAAAATTGTGCTTGACTGACTGTCGCAGTACTAGGACTATATATAGATACTATTTATATTTTCAGTTGCCTGTCTTACGTGTTCGCATATGTCGAAGAAAAATTGTAGAATAAAGCTTACTTGCTCTTTGTTGCTGTTTTTCTTTGAGATGCGCTCAAACACTACTGAGCTAAGAGATCAACACTTCTTCCATTAACTTTTTTATTACAAAATATCATCTTTCTAACACCATCGTGAGATACTGATCACTAAAACCACCTATTGAAAAAATACTAAACTCAATATAATTGGCGAATTGTAACCCACTGAAGCGATTTTTGGCTCCTTCGAATTTTTTAATACCTTTAATAACTAATATTCACCACGTTATTTAAAAAATACATTACCATAACAATAATTTTTTAGCGTCTGATTATGATATTTGCAGAAGTACTTAATACGAATTGGTAGTTGGCGAAGAGAAGAGAAGCAAAATGAAGTTTTTGTAGTTAACTTAAAATTCTTCACCTTGAAATCTGTACAAAAAATTTAGTTGTTTGTATGTACTGTATGTATATATATCTGTACTGTTGTGAGTTAATTTCTTACATATATTTTTCTTCTATTCTTCTTCTCTTTTCTCCTCTATATACACAAAAAAGTGCTTCGAATTTATCTTTTAATACAATTCAATCAATTCGAATGTCTTTTTTAGTATTAAATAAAATGCAAATGTTTTATATTTTATCTTAATTTGTCATAATATATTTTTATTTTTATTTTTAATTTAATTTTATTATTATTATTATTTTTATTTTTAATTTTTTTTTTTTTTTGTAATAAATTATGTTTATTTTCCGCAAATGAAAAACCTCAATCTCAATGCATTTTTCGCTGAAGTTATAAATAAAACATGTAGGTGTGTATAAACTTATGTATATATATATACATATATACGGGTATGTATGCATGAATTGTGTAAACATTTTTTGCGGCATTAAATTTCCCCTGCTACACGCAGCGACCTTAATTTTGCTTACAGTGCGTATACGTAACGTAACTAAAGTTGCGGTTGAGCACGGAGATAAAGAATAAACAAATAACAAAAAAAAAAATTAAATAAAATAAAGTAAAATGAATATAAAAAATAAAATGCATACGCACTCTAGGCCGTTACGTACAGTTATAAGCACAAATAAATATATATACATACATATTTGCAAGCACATAATTATGTATCAACAGTCGGCAGACAGGCAATGAAATCCAAGACGCGACAAATATTAAATTAAAAATGGAATATAGCAACATTTATAATAGAACAGTTGAGTAAATAAAAGTGGTATTAATGCACATACATATATTTATATGTATGTATTTATGTTCAAATGTATTTAGAATAATGAGTCTTGTTTAAAGTGCACTTCACCGAGCTTATTTTTAGCAGAGCCCATTGAGTTTATTGTTGCGAGGGTTCAATATATATATGTATGTATATAGATTGATTAATACTTTATTAAATACAAACCATTATGTATGTATATATTTTTTTTTTTGATTTTTAATTTTTTTTTTATTATTTTAATTAACATCAAAAAGCAAACGAAAATTTCTTATTTTAAAAATTAAATGAAAACAAACTGAAAAACATATTAAATTTAACTAAAATGTCTCCAGGTAGGGTCAACATAACCTTAGGCAATCTAAAACAACATTTTATTTTAGAATTTTAGAAATTATTTTATTACTTAAAAATCGGTTTTGTAGTTCGAATGTGAGCGAAATGTTTATTATATTAAAAAAAAATTATTGAAAATTTGACGTATTACAATTTTCAATTCGTACTTGAATGAAGAAAAAAAGTGCATTATTTATAAAGAAAATTTTTTTAAAATTATTTATATTTACATAAAAAAAACTAATTTATGCTATATATATATATATATATAAAGCGAAACTTCGTAGTATTCGAATTTTAAATTCGAAAACTATATTTTGTATGGAAGCAAGATTTTTTTTTTAATTTTTGTTAGTAAAATAATACGTAAAAGCTTACAATTTCATTAGTTCATAAAATATTTTTTTTTTTTAATTTTTATAAAAATAATATAACGAACTAATATGGTGTTCATATGGCTAACTGTAATCAAAACTTTCTTGGATTTTTAAAAAATAAATTTAAAAAACTCTTTTTTAATAAAATATGAAAAAAAAACGCCTTTCTCTTAAACATATTATTGCGGATTATGCAATATACAAAATTAATTGAAAAATTTAATGCAAAAAATTCGAAAACGAAATTTTTCGTATTTTTAACAGAGAGTTTTTAAAATTCAAAACGATTAATTTTATTAAAAATTTCAAGAGTTCTAAGCATTTTTTTTAGTAAAATGTTGCAAAGGCTAAGTTTTTGCTTTTAAAATAAGGTCATGTAAAAAGTTCGTTCGGTTTTTATCTAAGAGATGGACCGCTTGAAAATTTTAGAGAAAAAATTCTAAATTGATTTATTTGATTTTCTTTTTATCGCACATTCTTAACACACACTTTTCCCGCACTGGAAGCACTGAAATATAAACAATTAAAGGCCAGCAAACGCTGCGTCCAATATTATTACTATCCATTCAAACAGCCGGCACTTGCACTCGCGTACTATTATCGTTTTGGCACATAGTATAAAACCCCTCACAAACACAACAACAATAAGCATTTGTTGAGGTTGTAGAAGAGCTACAACAACGATTGTTGCATTTATTTACGTTTACGGTCGTCAACCTGCTGGTTGCTGTTGTTGTTGCTTGTAGTTTTACACATTTTAAGCGGGAAAAAGTGATAATGGGCCGCATGTGGTGCGCGGCATTCAACCCCAAGCAAGCGCCGCCCCCTCCCATAGGCAAGAAATGGCCAAACGAAATGACTGAGCAAAAACTGAACGACGCAAACACCGGAAGAATGCCAGAGAGGAAATGAGAACGTATTAAAAGAAATGCGGAAATGTTGAAAATGTATGTGTGTGTGAGTGTGAAAGAGAGAGAGAGTGAGAGAGAGAGCGCGCTCCCGAAAGATGGTGTAGGTGGAGCGGGATTTATAGGGACTTTTGTGTACATAATGTCCTTTCGTCTCAGATATTGTATCATCTCCGTATTCTAAGTAATATTTTTTGCTTTCTTTACATTCTTTAAGTTACTTGAAAATGGTTTTAAACAAATAGCAACCTACCGTGTATATTTCAATCGCGTTTACTCTATATTTTTGTTTACAGGAATCGTTTCCGGAACTTTCCCGTAGCTCCGTTAGAGTGCAAGCGATATACGTAGCGGTCTGCTGTGTGTGTTTATGTATGCGGCGCACCTTTTTCAGCAGTCCAAGCACAAAAACAATTTATTTTAATTTTTGCACTATCAAAATATTTCACTTATTTTTTTCTTAGCTTCTCATTTACTGTATTATTAGACAACCCTTTTTATTTCTCCGCGAATCTTTATTTTCTTTATCAACTATACACTTGTAATCTTCAAATCCAGTCACACTCAGTTCAATGTTGTTGTATTCGATTACCCCGCACAGCAGAATTCCAAGCTTAGCTGACAATCGCTCACTGCGTCCCACTCAACTGCACAACGCGAAAGCTTAAGAACGACTGATTTGAAAGCCGTCAAATGAATGACTGAACCAGTTTTGTTGCTCCATACGCTGTTGGTTGCGATAGTAGGGTTGGAGCGCAACAATGGGGCTTCGGTCTGCTTCGGCATGTGGTAAAACAACTGCAACATAACGAAACGAAGAACTGTTAACGCTTTTCGTCGGTTCACCCACTTAGCAACTTCAACCATCAACTTTGAGCGGCGTGAAAGACTGTCGGCGAATGCTCTTAACTCTCTTTAGCCGGTTTCGTTGAGTTTTATACTCAAACCAAAGTGTGTGTCTCAGCGCAGCAGCAGCGCGTGTGTGGGTGGTGGAATTTTGTTGTGCTTCGGAGTGCATTTTGTTTATGAATGAATGTATTGGGTTGCCCAAAAAGTAATTGCGGATTTTTTAAAAGAAAGTAAATGCATTTTTAATAAAACTTAGAATGAACTTTAATCAAATATATAATTGCCATTTTGTTCGATAACCTTTTGCCATCTTCCTGGCAAATTTAGTATTCCACGCTCATAGAACTTCTGGCCTTTATCTGCAAAAAACTGAACCAAGTGCGATTTTATAGCCTCATCATTGCCGAAAGTTTTACCATTTAAGGAGTTCTGCAAAGATCGAAATAAATGGTAGTCTGATGGTGCAAGGTCAGGGCTATATGGTGGATGCATCAAAAGTTCCCAGCCAAGCTCACTCAGTTTTTGGCGAGTGACCAAAGATGTGTGCGGTCTAGCGTTGTCCTGGTGGAATATGACACCTTTACGATTGACCAATTCTGGTCGCTTCTCCTTGATGGCTGTATTCAATTTGTCCAATTGTTGACAGTAAACATCCGAATTAATCGTTTGGTTCCTTGGAAGCAGCTCAAAATATACGACACCCTTCCAATCCCACCAAACAGACAGCATAACCTTCTTTTGGTGGATATCAGCCTTTGAAGTGGTTTGAGCTGGTTCACCATGCTTGGACCATGATCGTTTTCGACTAACGTTGTTGTAAACAATCCATTTTTCATCTCCAGTTATGATTCGTTTTAAAAACGGATCGAATTCATTGCGTTTAAGGTGCATATCACAAGCGTTGATTCGGTGTGTTAAATGAATTTCTTTCAATACATGTGGTACCCAAATATCAAGCTTTTTCACCAGTCCAAGACTTTTTATGTGATAATGAACGGTTGATTTTGGTATATTTAACTTCTCTCCTATCTCACGCTCAGTTACATGACGATCCAATTCGATTAATGCTTTGATTTGGTCATCATCAACTTCATTTGGCCGACCTGAACGTGGCTCATCTTTAAGTGAAAAATCTCCAGAACGGAATTTGCGAAACCAATTTTGACACTGTCTTCCTTTTAAGGCTTCATCACCATACACATCTCGTAACTTTTTAGCAACCTGCTCCGCGTTTTTTCCTTTACGGAAATAATAAAGTAAAATATGACGAAAATGCTCCTTTGTGGGCTCCATATTAAAATTGACGCCAAACAAACAAATGTAAACAAAATTTCGCGCACTTTTTTTCTAAAGCAAGCTAAAAGTAACACCTGATAACTGACAGAAGAAAGAATGCAATTACAGAGTCACAACCCGTTGAAAAAATTTGTCAACGCCGACTATATGAAAAATCCGCAATTACTTTTTGGGCAACCCAATAGTTTGAGCTTTTTCGATAGTGAAATTCGATAAATACATAAAGCTTTATTGAAATTTAGCCAAGCTCAATTTTTGAATGCTTCCTACAACGGCTTAACTGTAACTCTTATCTCTAAATGGCCATTCCGGCCGCAGGAAGATAATGCCATCTTTTCCGAATGTTTTTGTGATATGAATTGAAAAAGTCCTCTATTTTTTTTAGAAATACGAGGTGCCGACAAGCTCGACCATTTTGAATGTTCACTTAATTGTTGACAGCTGCTTTGCTTGCACGTGTTTTGGAATGTCTTCGATTTTTACTCATTCAAAAAAAATTGATCAAAGAATCTGTATCAAATTTTGTGTGAAAAACGAAATTAAATGCGCGGATGCATTCCGAATGTTGACTGTGGCATACGGAGAAGCTACCTTGGACTGAAGCAACGTTTATCGGTGGTACAAGAAGAAGACGAAAAAATTAATGAAGTGGAGAAAATGGTATTGCCACAGGGTAGAATGGTCAATAAGGAATATTACCTGCAAGTTATGCGCAATTTGGCCGAAGCAATCCGCCAGAAACGCCCGGATTTGTGGAATAACAAAAATAGGTTTTTGCACCACGATAACGTCGCTGCTCACACATCGTTGCTTGTGCGCGACTTTTTGGCCCAAAACAACACACTAATGATGCCTCAGTCACCGTATTCTCCAGATCTGGCCCCCTGTGCCTTTTTCTTGTCCCCTAAACTGAAGAGGCCCATGAAAGGACGCCGTCACACTACGATTGACGAGATATAGACAGCATCGAAGGAGGAGCTGAACAAGATAAAAAAAAATGATTTTTTTAAGTGCTTCGAAGATTGGAAAAACCGTTGGCACAAGTGGGGATTACTTTGAAGGGGACAAAATAGATATTCATGAATAAATAAATAATTTTTGAAAAAACACAAAATTCGCGATATTTTTTGAACACACCTCGTACATCAAGACAGCAATGTAATCGCAGGTGTATCCAAACCTGATATGAGCTCAATTGTAGGCGGAGGCAGACTCTTACAGCAAGGGTTTTCGTCGCAACACTCCACTTATGAATGGTGCGCAGTCCAGAGCATATCCGAAAACTATATCAGCCAGAGCGAAAATTGTACTTGACGGACGTTTCGTTCCGACGCACTATGATCTGAACTAGGAGCTACGGGGTACGCTGCGAATTTGTGCTGGATGTGGGTGGGAATGTTAAGAAAAGTGAGGTAGGTTACCCAAAATGGGTAAAGGTGCATAAAGCATAACCGTGAAGGTAAGGCACGTAGTTGAGCATTAGCAGCATGGGGCCACGTAACGCGTGGTCCACTCCCAATGTTTCTTAAGTACTTAACAGTTCTTAAGATGACTCCAGCCGTGTCTTTGGTCGAACTATCTGGCTTCGCAGCACCTTTGCTCTGTTGATGTACTAATGCTTGAACATTCGCGAAAAGAAACTATTTTCACAAATCGTGTTAAACAAACTTAATTTAAGCAAAGAAGCAACTTTTTTGAATTCAGTTAAAGATATTTTTATAAAAATGTTTAGTAAATTCGTTTAATTACAATTATAAACATATTCAAGTGCTTTTATTAAGCCATTGAAAGGTTGCTCTCCTCTCTTCTCCATGTTTTTTCGCCATATACGTTCTAATATGGATTCAGCAGAGATAATTTTAGTACTGGATATATTCTCATTAAATAGTCCAATCATTAACCTCCTTTGTGCTGCGTTTGGGTTAAGTATATCACAAGTATTTCTGTTGCAAATAACATAATTGTGGTCTGATGTGAAATCATATTTTCCTGCAGCGTGTGCACAAATGGTAGTACCTCTGATAACATGCTTTTGAATTAGAGGCATAATGCTACCAGACGAGTGTTCATCTTGAGGGCATAACTCGAATATTAAGTTATCTGCACCTTCCTCCATTATGCCAAGGATCCAATCGCCTTCTATTGAGATTCCTGAACACAAAGACGTATATACTTTAATAGATTTTGAAAATTTAAGAAAAATGATTTTATACCTTTGCCATGTTTTTCAAACCCGAATTTGTAATCGTAAAGGCGTACGATTTTCTGTGGCCCACCCATTTTCCCTCTGTGATCCTGCTGATACAATTGATATTTCGCAATTACTTGCCTGTAGTGAACATACCACTCTCGAATAGTGTCGATTGACATCCGGCTGCCTCGAATGAAATCCTCCAATTGTGCAGCACTTTCATCGAATCGTTGTGCAAAACAATATATTAAATAAAAAATTCGTGGTAAACATAAATCTGTATTTTCAAACAATGTCCCTCGGGCTTGAGAAATTACTGTTTTTGATCTACAACTGTCTTTGATACAGTAGAAATCTCCTACTAGATCGGGGTCCGGTTGTTTTAGAAACATACAAGTTTTGTGGAGAGGACACATCATAGTTTTAGGTAACAGGTTGTTCTCTTCGGCAAATTTAATGCACATATGCGATGTGCCCAGTTCAGTAAAAATGCCTGACAAATTCCACATTCTTCCATCTTTTTGCTTTTTCCTTTTGGGTGATGCTGTATTTTACAAAAATAGGTCTTTAAATATACTAAATCTTAATTTTTTGTTATAGTTTACCTTTAAAAGTGCCAAACATTTTAAATTCAAATACAAATATTCAATGTGGAATAAAATTGCAAGCTTTTTCAAATTAGCAATTCGGTGGATTATTATACAGTACCCAACAAACATTCACACCGAATTGCTTTGCGAAACCTCCATGCGTTATTGGTATATAGTATTTGAATATTTTTAAAAATTCTTTTAAGTATATAGTTACTGCAAGATAATTAAAATACGGTGTTTACCTCAATTTCTCTAGCATTAAATAGTCTAGTATATTGTTACGATTTTACTAAATCAACCTCGATTATTTTCTAGATCCTTCGGGTACGATCTCTGGATTGTTAAATAAAAACTCGCCAACTTAATTTGCAGTTTCTTTCGTTATAAAGATTCTATCTAATGTCCTTTATTTTCTCAGTAATTCACAATTCAATTATACTGCACTTTACTATTTATAATCACTAACATCAACTTTCACAATTTACTCTACTTAAATGTAATTCCCAACGCGTTCACTTTACGTCTTCACTGATGTTAACGCCAACCAATTTGCTTTGTCACTGCTTGACTTGCAGCTGAGTGTCGCCTTTATATAGCAGTCGGCTGCTCGCAGACGAAAGCGTAGAAGCATCGAATTGTTCACTATGGAAGGTTCTTGTTTTATCGTACTTGTTATCGGCTTCTCTCTTTCATCTGACATTCGCCTCGCATTTTCGCAACAATATTATTAGATGTTATTTATATTAAAGTACCCGCATGACCGATGCGCTGTAAAGTAGTCGGGTTTGTTTTTTCCCACACATCAGCGAAAATTTCTCAAATATGAAAATCCTCTAAAACAACTAACGAACAAAAGAAAATCTTAGCAAAACAAAGAAATAAATAAAAAATAGGACTATGATCTTGCCTACCAATCTCAAACAACTCCATCCGATAAGAAGATAGCTATTTGAAAACGAATTGAAATTTCGAAAACTTTCCACTCTGATATTGGCAAAACGGGCACAGTAAATATTTACGCACATGCAAAGGTAAATATTATGGAGTGTTGCAACTGCATATAAGTAACAGAATTTATGTATTATTGTGCGTAGTAGGTACATCCCAAGATAGGCTGACTAAAGTGCATTTCATTGAATAATTACCCTAGTGTTTGGTGTTACAGGTTAAAGGAGTGATTCTCACTCTACATATGTAAAAATATTTTTTCGGAATGTTGTTAAAGATTCGACATGCTCTTCTGGAGATCACGAATCATCCAGTGACCAAGCAGTCAGCTATTATTATAAACAATGAAATCATAATAACTTCGGGTGGAATACTACAGCCCTATGTGCGGCCGAAAAAATCTTCTACAGAGGTCAGGCAGGATAATGAAAATTGTCCCAGTGGCAAAATAATACAGAATTTACAGCAGTGCAAGCTAATCAATGCCCAAGATGGTAACAGCGATGAAGCAAGACATTTAAATGCCTTAAATTATCAGGTGACATTTGATCGACGAAAATTACCACCGTCAAAAGAAGGACGTAGGCAACCACATATACTAACTCGTTATTGTGCTAAGTTATTATATCTGTTCAATTCAGCGGAGATTTCACGACATTTGTTGCGCTTCCTAGGTACTCAACACGTCGATAAAGCAACTGCAGCGCATAACGAAGTCTTACTTTCCAGTTTCCTGGTGCTGAGCATGCGTTGTGATGGTACTAAGGAAAATTTCCAACGCTTCCTAAGACATATTGCCCACTATCTACGCTATCTGCAGCCGATACATACACTAGACGATGTTCTGGTCATGTGTACGCCATTTGGTTTAGAAAACTTCTACAAGACAATTAGTATTGGTAAAGTATCAAATGTTATGGGCCGTGATGGCTGCCTTTTTGTGCTCTCCAATGCTTTAGCACTGGGCTGTGAAGGAGCCGCTGTCTTCAATAACAAGTTGTAAGCGGGTGTTTTTTGTTTGAAGATGAAATTAATTAGAATATCGTTTTTTAGGCGCTTAATAGGCATGATAATGTGCACTTCATTTCAGCGACAACAAGAAAATGTCAATTTGACTTTGGCAGCGAATTTTGCGTTTTTGTTACGTGATTTTATGCGACAATTGGGATTGAACATAACATCGGTGCCTGTGCCTAGATATTCATCCAATTTTCCATGTAAGAGACTATGTAGTAGGTGCTGCAATTTATATTAATATTAACGTTTTTTTTCTTCTTTATATTAATTTGTATAGGGGAGCGCGCAATGGTTGTGATTGAAGCTGCTGGCAGCCAAGGAACTGGCACCTTTGTGAAAGTGTTGAATAAAAAGTTTATACTTACTTGTACGCATGTAGTCTTTAAGGTAACTTCTTATAGTAAATATATTGTACATCATCCTTTCAGCACTAACAACATTTTCTTAACGCGAGGTTTGACAAGTAGCGAGTAGCTTTTGCTCGACGAATTTATGTCCTTGATCGAGCTAAATATACATATATTTGCAACTGCTTATGATAATTCTCGTTTTTTTTTTAATACTGCAGCTCGTTACCATATTTGTATTTCAGTTGTCACAAATTCTAAGCTATAAGAGATAATTTGATTTTTTTCCAGTTAAATACCACTGCAATTTGTCGCAGTGTCGATGGAGAATTCGAGTCGGAAGTGCTTTGGCGAAATCCACAATATGACCAACCCTTCGACGTCGCTCTCTTAGCAGCGCCAGATAATGTTCCTGAGCGGTACTGTGTGCGTTTATCCAATGTTAAGCCTAGCCTGGGCCAAAATGTTTATAATGCAGGCTTTCCGTATTTTGTCAATTTCAATTTGAAATATGATTTCAATCCGGCAATATTTCAAGGACGAATCATAAAATATACACCTGGTGCAATCATGTCTGATGGTTGTGTACAAGCGGGCCAAAGTGGTGGTCCAATGTTTGATGAGCAGGGCTGTATTTTGGGTATATGTGTGTCGAATATTAAGGTGGGCAATGTGGTGTATCCTAATTTGAATACTGCAGTGCCCATATGCCAGATACGTACGTGGTTAGAGCAGTATGCGCGAACAAATGGTGAACACTCACTCTTTATTGATGGGATGTTTGTAAAATTTTTTACTACCTTTCTTGCAGATATAAAACTTCTTAGTAATTTGGTAGCAAACAAGGAAATGCAACGTTTGTGGGCATTGGAAGCACCACCTATTCTTAGTAAATTATAGTTGTGGGAAATAAATTCCATTTTCTCTTTTGATATTGGAATATTTACGTATATCTTTTATCTCAGCCAAACTGTATATACATATATTTATTTTTATGCGGATGTATAATTATTAAAATAGGAAAAAAATATGTCAAAATATCAAAACATTTTTATAAGAGCAAATAATAAAGAACAATAATCATAGATTATTTATTTATGAATTGAATTATTTCTTATTTTAAGATAATTTTTATTATTAAAAAAAGAAAAAATTATTAATAAGAATTTTCGAACTGCTGCCGACAGTTGACATGGAATGCCAATCCTTCCGAGCGTATTTCTGACACGAAGCAAAATGCTCATCAATAAAATCCTTCAGCCGTTCAAAGGTGGCTTAAAATAGATCAACTTGGAAAATATTCAATACGCACATTACGAATTGTAGAAGCATTTTAGTATCTGAGCAGCAAATAAAACGATTTCGTTTCATAAGATTCAATTAACCATTAAATATTTATTGTATGTTGCTGAACTTAAAATCAATTGTATGTATGTTTGTATACAGTAGGTATTCACATATTATATTAATAACTTTTATAAGAAAAAAATCAAATACATATAGACTTATGTATGGACATTGCGGTCCAAACACTGATTAACATGTTCTTGTAAGCTTGTTAAAGATGTACAAGATATTGCGCAAATTGGGCATTTGTGTTCGGCTGCTGCCTGTACCGGTGCTGGTGGCGGCACAATATTCTGTAAATAATATTTCTATTTGTGTTCTTGTTATATTTCCTCTTATATATAGAATAATTTGACGACAACTTACCCTTGACGGCGCCACTGGACTATTTGTTTGCATTGAAATTACTGCCAAGTGCTCCTCCAGCTTTGCTACCTGCTCGCTCAGTGCTTGATTTTTGTGTTGCAATGAGCGCAAATCGTCTAGTAATTGTACCTTTTCACCAGCCATTTCTTCGCGTGCTGTACGCTCCAATTGAAAGTCGCGACTATAGACATCTACTTGCTGACGAAGTATACCAAGTTCTTCACGCATTTCATCTCGTTGTAAAGCATACAATTCAAATTGATCGGTTTTCTCTTTGTCATTAGCTTTGAGTAAAGCTATGTCGGAGCGAAGTTGATTAACCATCTCTTCGGATGCTGTCAAGTTAACTTTAAGGCAATTTATTTCATCGATATATTGTTTTTGCTGCATTAATAAAGAGCGTAAACCAAACTATTAACTATTTAAATATTTGAATTACATCAACTATATACCATATCTGAAATTTCCAGCTTCTCCGCTAGTAATTGTGACATATTACGCTCGAAATCCTTGATCACGCGTTCATGTTCGTGGCGTGTAACATATTCAGATTTTTCCGACTGTTTCTCCTTTTGGCCAAATTTAGAAACCACCTCAAATGAAGACTACAAAACAAACAAACATACTTATTTGTTACTAATATTTACACAGTTTAGCACTTACCAGTTGCTGTAGTTCTAACTTCTCGATTTGTGCACGCATATTGGCGATTATGGCAGATTTCTCTGAGATTTTTTTTATAAGTTCCTCGTTTTCTTGCTTTCGTACAGCCTCGTTGGCTTGCAATTGTTCTATTTTTGTATCCAATTCTTGTTTTATTTTCAAGTTTTCATTTCGTAGCTAAAATGATCAAATTGCAGTGATATCTACTAATTCATATAAACATTACTTACAGTAGCTATTTGTTCCTGGCACTGATTCATTTTCTGACGATTTTCTACAACGCTTGCCTGCATTTGTTTCTTCATTTCAAGCCAAGAACTCATTTTGCTGTTTACAGAGATGAGAACGTCTGAAAAGTAAAAAAAAAATTTAGTTTCAGTATTGAGCTACATATGTATATGATTAAAATTCTCACACCTTTCATTTTTAGATAATCACTCATAACCGTTGTTAGTTCTTCACAAGCTTCCAAGGAAACGCTCGGGAATTGTGAATGGATGCTTGCCTTAAATATAAACATTTTCAATAATAATTTATAAGAAATAATTTTTAAATAAACACTAATTCCATTTCATAATTTCGATAGCCCCACCGAAGCCAAGAAGTAAATTTTGTACAAAATATCCAAATTGTGCGAATATTATGAATTACCTTTAGTGTATCTGCTGGTACTTGACCCATTATATAACTTACTGCCATATTGTTTTGTAAACTGTCTTTTGAATCAGTTTGACTTTTTTGCCCATCAACAATACTAACTTTCGGTATGGCACCAGTATTTTTTTCTTCACGCACATCCATATTATCCATTTGCAATTCACCTTCGTTATTTGAAATTGTTAGTTGCTCTGTTGTTGTAGTGCTTCTTTTCCATACATCAGGTTCAACATATTGAAATGAGTTCAAAGATGCTTGCGTTGCAGCATTTACATCAACACTTCTTTTCCATACGTCGCAATCAACCGATTTTTCTGTTAGTGGCTTACTGGCCGATGCCAACGCAGAACGTATGGAATTGACTTTTCCATTATTTAAGTTTGTTGCAAGTGGTGTTTGTATCGAACTTTTTTCATTTCTTTGTTCGTTTTCCTTGACACAAAATGATGAAAATTCGCCGGTCCTCAAAATTTCAAAAGAATCGTTATCCGACATTTCGTACTGTTGCTGTTAAATTAAAAATAAATTAAACTTTTTATTAATTTTTTATATACTATTTATGGGATTCCCCGAGTATTCTATCTAAACGCCAATCAATTCTTTGCTCTTTACACATTAATGATTCACCGAACAAAAGATAAAAATATATATATGTATGATCACAACTTATGAATTGGAAAAATGCGCAGTGTTTAAAAAACAAACATTTTATTATGGAACAAATATTAATGCAAATTTAAGAATATTTTATGTCTCAGCTATTAAATATGACAAGAAATCTACTTTTTACACTTACATTACAAGTATAATCCAAAGAATGCACAAAAATATAAATAAAAAATAGATGACTACAGCCGTTGCAATATTCGAAGTCCGAAATCGAATATCGAATATCGAATAAACTGCAGCTGTAAGACCAGGGTTGCAACGAACGTATTTAAACACCAAAACAAAGAGCATATAAAATTTCAAAAAAGTTCTTTGACGCTATCCATGCTTTTTAATTTCGGATATTATTAATTTATGGAAATACATATAAAAAATAATTTGCAGAAAAGCATGCTTTAAAGCAACCTCCTCCTAATATACCGGTAGATTTTCGAATTATTTCCGTCACAATTAAAGCGAAACAATGGCGAAGCAGCGGTCTTAATAGGAGAGAGAGTAAATAGCGATACGTTATTTCAGCGCTATTCTGTCGAGGTAACAAAATTTACTATTCTGAGATCACTGTCACCCTGTAAGTTTTGTTACCAGTGAAATAGGAGATTAAAAGCAATCAGCTGTTCGATTTTGTGCTGTTAATTTTTGAAAAAATAAAAAACCAATATGTAAAGACATATTTTACGTCTAGATTAATTTAAAGATGAAAAAATATGGGCAAGAAAGCGCAAATTAAGAAGCTTGCGAGAAAAAGAATTTTAATTTGTCATTCAGTAGTTTTGCCTGACCAAAAAAACTTGTTTAGATCTTATAAAAGAGTTGGCACCATATCACAAGGGAGTAGATGTTCATTTCCATATGTAATTTTTAAATCAATTTTGTTTTTACACAGAAGACATCGTTGCCATTTTATTTGAGGTTTCCCTCAACAATATATTTTTTTCCCCACGTGACGTATCAAAAATTCGCTGGGAGCAATCGTTTTAATGCAATGAGCCAACGTTCTGTTCCTCGATCACTGTACTATATTTCAAAATTGAATGTCAAAATAAAAACCGAGAAACTTTGCTTCCCAACCACAAATGAAATGCAAATACATACATATAGGAATATTCTTGATTTTACTTTACCAACTGGCAAGTGTAAAGTGACATGGACGAAAAAAGCAGTTCTGCAAAAATTTTTTCAAACAATGTAACCAGTTCGTCAGAGTACCAATTTCAATTTCAAAATTTATTTTACCGGTAACAGTGAGAATAGGCCTGATAGTGTGTAAGCAGCAAAAATTTCTAACAATTATTTGCTGAACCACGTTCGGTGGTCAGAAATTTTTTATATTTCTAAACTGGCTAATGCTACTGACACTTCTCAACGAACATTCCTCCTTGTACTAGTATGGTGCAGCAATTTTCAACAATCAAACAATTTAGTTGTCCGCTTTTAAATAACTATTTTATTCTATCGAAATAATCACAATTTAAATTATTTAAATATTAAATAATGAGGTACAAAAGTCACTTAAACTATTTATTAATACAAAATATAGTTTAAAATTTGTTAATGGATATTAACCCTGTTGCCTTCGTCCAACATTACGAGCGATCTCAGCGCGATAACGAAATAATGGACGGAACACATTCACCTCAGCAAGTTCCATGTCCAAGTCCAAATCTAAGGGCTGATTGAGTTGTGCCGTTGTCAAAGTACGGCGTGCACGTTGCTTGTGCACATCGGTTATAGTTGACTCCAATGTATTTGGCTGGTCAAGTACGGGTTGCACAATAAAAATTGAGTTGAAATCCTCGTCGATCGCATATTCTGGCACTGCCAGTAGCGTTTGACTATCGAGTAAAGGTGTCTTTACTGTGTCAGTAGTTGTGGTAGGTCGAGGACTACTGCCAACAATCCCATCGCTAACGGGAAGTGATTGAGTTAGACCGAGCAGGGTGCACAAAATAATATAACGAACGTTTTGACGCTAAAAATAAATATTTTGATTAAGTAATTTACTAATTAAACTCCTATTATATGTAAATAAAGAAGTAAAAATAAATTAAACTTGCATTTTTATATTTATTTACCTGGCAAGCACACATTTTTTTATGTTTTTATTATTGATTTTGCTGTATAATAACCTTTTTTATGTAAAATTATTATGAATAACACTTGCTAAGCCCTTGTATTGTAATGCAGTTTGCCAATTAACAAGCTATTGTTGCGCCAACAGCTATTGTGGCAGCCTTATATAGTTCCACAACTTGCGAAAAACTGAAAGCTTGCTCGAAAAAGCCTATACATAATAGCAACTACATACTTTGTGTAAGCTTTATTTTCATATACATATATTATTTAGCTGTAATACTCATACGTTCAAACATACATTCAAATCTAAACAAAAAATTAGGTCCAGTTATGAAATTTGTATCGGCGTTGAATTGATAAAAGGAACATTTTTAGATATCTAAGTCTAACGCTTTAGCGAGAAATGCTTTAGAGAAGCGGTTATATAACAGTGCCTAGTAAACAATATAAAACCTCTTGGAACACATAACATGTGCAGAACGTGACTTAAAGACTTACAAAGCTGTGCTCAAATTATGACATTAGTATTAGTCTACACTGAGAGCCTTTCTGCTTTCCTTCATTTTCTATTGAGTTCGATTTCATCGTCATTTTATAAGTAATTTGCTGCGAGTAAAAAGTGGGGGGAATTTTTAATTTGAGCTTCGCGAGCTTAATATTTCGGGTTAATTCCTTATTTTTAATGTTGGTAGCACTGTTATTAACATTTACGCCAAATTTCATGATAATGTCATCATTGATGTTTTAGTCACGCTTCTGATTACTAAACGACTAAAAGTGTCTTCGTGGTTTTTGCATCACGATAACGCACACAGCATACATTCTTCGTGACCATTCCGCAAAAAACTTCCGCGAATATCGTTCTCCAACCAACTGTGTGACTTCTGGCTCTTCCAAAAACTCAAGAGACCACTTCGAGGACACCGTTTTGAGTCGATTGGCGAGATTAATCGTGCATCTACTCGCCTCTCTGAAGCCCATAACAGAACGCGACTATTTGACATGCTTCGATAATTGGAGAAAGCGTTGGCATAAGTGCATTGCATCCTCAGTGGACTATTTTGAAGACGACGAAATCGATGTAGGAGAATAAATAATGGTTTTAAACAAACAAGTTCACCTTACTTTTTGCGCACAGATCACTTACCATTCTAACTTTTTAAACTTGAAACAGTTTCCTCGTGAACTCCTTCCATATTGAACACTTCCGCTTCCTTCTTAGAACAACCGGTTGAAAGCAATTCGCCCACACAACGCCGTTAAATTAATTTGATACGGCAAGGTTATTTGAAGCCGAATTTTGTTTTGCTCATATTAAGTTAGCCCAATTAGCGTTTATGGAGCTTTTCATTTTCGCACCTACCGACGCAATTAACAGTTGACAAATAAGTGATGCATTACACAAATGTTTGTGTTAAAAATTATTAAAAGAAATAGTGCAAAAGTACTCTATTGCAGCAGCAGATGAGTGTGCGATTATTTTTATTGTGTGGATGTTAGTCAAATATCCCGGTGAATGTCGGTTTGTTTAACGCTGAAAGTCATTGTAATTAACAGTTAACTACAGCAACCAGTTCCACTCCATCAACGCCAAAGCTAATTCAAGTGCAAGCGAATGGCGCAAAAGTAGGTAGATCTGTATTTAACTGTGTATGTGCACATTTTAATGTGACTTCAAAACATTTGCTCGCTCGTTGGCAACTTCCTTACGCATAGCGTTGCTGCGAGTCACATTCAACGAGTAACGTTCAACTGTCAAAGACGTCACAGCAAGTCACGCGAGCAGGGAGAAAAATAGTTGGTTTAGTAGTGATACAAATTTATGTTTTGTTTTAAATGCTTTTTATTTATTTGTATAAATGATTTGTGCGCGCGCAGTACTTAGTTTAATTGGCTCAATGCATATTGGCACGTATCACCAGGTGATTCATTCAGCTGGATATGACGTGTCGTCTAAAATAATATTGTGATTAAATTCGGTAGATAATTTCAGAGATGCTCAGCTGACCAAGTCATGCCATTTCGTTTTGTTAATATGAAAAATAAAGGATGCAACCTTGGATAATTTAGTTTAAAATTTATAGGCCTATTGGGTGACCTGATGAGCAGTAACAACTGTAAGAAAAGTCAGCAATTTTGGCTTTTACTCCACGTCTCCACAGGCAATCAGCGATTGCCTACCAACTGTCATTGTGAAAGATAATTGCAAGCAATTTATTTGCCAATTTATCTATGTGTGCATCAATCAAGCATGTCCGCTGCATTAAACCTATTTAACATTTAGAAATGATAAAAGAATATAAATTTAATATTCACTTAATCACTTAATTTTCATCTCATTTCAAAATATCAACGATGTTGACCTCAGTAGGGGAATTCTCTATCGAGTTGGTATTCGGATCGTTAAATTACTTAACAATAATTTTAAAGATTTGGCTATTCTCTAAGCACTATATAACGATTTTTGGAGCGCAAAGAAGACTTAGCGATAATTTTAACGATTTTAATATTCGGTGTACTTATTTTAACGATATTCGCTCTCGCTGTTGTCGTTAACTACTCGACAAATCGCGATATCGACAAAATATTGTTATTTCATTTAAGAGAGTAAAGTGTCCGGGAAATTGCATAAGTTATAAAAAAATAAAAATAAATAAATAAATGGCTTTTGAATATTTCGCATAAGATTTATCACAAGATTAAGAGGTATTCTACCCTTCATCATTGAATAGAAGTTTGCTTCGAGAAGCGGAAGATCCTTTTCACTTGACTGCTACCGAGTTTCGTAGATTAACGCCGGATTTAGTTAAAGAAATCGTGTCCCAACTAGATTGTCTACTAAAAGGAAGAAGAATGAGAGCATTGTCTACGGAGAAACAGCTAAAAATATATATTTTCAATCTTTTTTTTTCAGTTTGTACACTATTAAAATGTTTGAAGGCTCTAACCGCCTTGTGATTTTTTGCAACTGAATGCTATCAACGTCCCGTCGGAGAGCAATGGTGGATATCCATGAGTCAGTCATCACAAAGCCGTGGTATTCATCGCGTAAAGGACGTATGCAACCGTTCAATATTTGCTGCGAAGGTTAGATTTCCTATTACGTCGCCATTTGCTGGAGGAACTATTGGGGCGGGCTATCGCTTGCGAAGAAGCCTATGTCAACCTTCGTGAATACCATTCTACCAACGAGCAAATGGTGATTTTTTTTTCAATTATCATTAAAGTAACAAAGTTCTTTGTATTTGTACACAGATAGGTGATCCTTATTCAAATGCCAAGTAGCCAAGAGCGCGGCAAAATTATTTTATTTGGAGCTCTTCTATAGAGCGAAGAGTCATGCAGGAAAGTGCAAACCATAACATGTTTTTGATAAACTTTGTAACGCATTGCTCTTCATTTAATAAAAATAATTTCTTTAACAAATTTATTTGCTTTCCTCATTTCTCTTTGAGCTTTACGCATATTTTGACGTCATGTTAAGCTGTGTTGCCACCTTAAGTTCACGTTAATAAAATGGAAATATCCGTTATCGATTATAGTAAAAACCGTGTTAAAGAATCGCATTATCGTTAGCGCACGCGTCAAAATTCGGAATTTTGCTATCCGACAAATCGTGTAGATAAAAGTTACAGAACTGCGCTGCAGAAAATTTGGGCGTAAATCAAGCTTTAACTGTCAAAATCAAAATCTGACAGGAAAGCAGTTGATTTGTGGTCATATTGGCGCATTTTTCTCAAAAAGAAAACAAAAATTCATCAAAATGATAAACTGCATGAGCATAAAAATAGTCAGGAAGTAAATGAAAAGTTGTCACCGCTCGCCGATACCGTTACTGCTATTACGGTCGGTTGTTATGGCTTTGCGGTATGTAAGATGGATAGTTGCAGCATAATTCTTACTGACATTTCTCACCGATCAGAACTAATACACAAACGCATTATTATTTTTTGTAAAAGCGGTGTAAGTTAGCGTATATTTTCTATTTACATACATATATACACCCATTTTCACTGACCATTTTGTATAACTTTTACATATCCATGTAAACAAATTCTCGCACGCGCGCTAATCGTGATAATTGAAAGTTTTTAAGAATCTCTGAGGAAATGTAATTTAGTAATTAATAATTTCGAGTTATTAATTTGTACTACTGCAAGTGTAGTGCAAATATATGAGTATAATTTCATGGATAACTGAGACAATTCAAATATATAAACCATAAAAAAATGCATAAAAAATGTACTTACGAATAATTTCCCTGCAATAAGTTAGCCAAAAAAGGCACAAATAAATTACTTTACAATATAATTGAAACATTTATTTCCACATTATTCTTTATAATATTTAATTAAAGTTTTTCTTTAGTTTTCATAGTTTTTAATTTTTTTATTTTTATTTGTTTACACAAAAGAAAACGCATTGGGATAATAATTTTACTGTTAATTTATGGCTATTGATTTTGTTTGGTGTTTTTGGTTTTTATTGTTAATATACATACATACATCAATTGAGAAAAAACTGTTAATACTTGTTTATTATTGTTTATTTGTTTGTCTGTGATTTAATGCTGATTGCGCTCATTCTTAAACATTTTTGATGTATTGAAAAATATACATATATGTATGTATATTTCATTATAAGTTTGATTTCAGCATAAATTATTATAATTTTTCATTTAGTTGTTTGTGTTTTGTATGGCTAGTTTGACGCTCCAAAAATTACTTGAGCCAATTTTATTTTGCCTTTTCTTTGACATTTGATTTTCCTGCTACTATAAATTCATTTCAAAAACTTTTCAAATATTTTTTTATTTCTTCCATTTTGTTGAACCTTTGACGTTATGCTTCCTTGGTATGTTTTTGAGAGATTTATTGTTATTATTTTTATGTTATTATATGTATGTAAAAACAAATTTAAAAGTTTTGATTTCATACATAAATACATGTACGGAAGACAAAATATATATTTTCATCTACAAAAGTGTTTTTATAATAATAAATTTTGTAGATTCTGCAACATTTAATTTTAGCTAAAAGTTCAACTGTGGAGATTTTGTCATAAAATTAGTTAAATTAGAATTTAAAATCAAATAAAATTAAGGTAAAATTCAAGCTTGAAGACATTATTTGGCGTACATGGAAGAATTCATAAAGTGCTTTTCGTATTAGTTGCTTGTTTTCATTATTATAAAATATTTATAAATATGTAAAAATATGTATAAATATGAACAAATTATATTTTAATTATAATTATGTATTTAATGATTCTTACTATTAGTTTTTGAAATTAATATAATAAATATTTGAAAATTTACTCAAAAGTATTAATCATATTTTTCTATTTTAATCTATTTTTTATAGATTCAAAGTAAGATGAAACAAAATGTGGAGTCGATTGGACGAACGTCATGAGTAAATAACTAAAAAAAGAATAAAAAAAAATAAAGGAAACACTTAGAAGAAGCAGCAGTAAAATATAAAATAAGCGTGTAAAAATTAATATGAAAAAAAATGAACAACTAATAGGTAGAGTGAAAATAAAGTAAATGAAATAAAAAGAAAAAAAAAACAGTAGAACATCGAAAAAGAAAATAGAAAACTTCACAAAATTGAAGTCAACAGAAAGTTTTTTAAGGTAAGATTAAGTACTATTTTCGATAAATTTTTAAATTGAAAACAAACGCATAACCTAAAATTTTAGCAAGTTTTCAGTATTATGAAATGAAAAGAAAAATTAAAATCAGAAAATAAATGAAATAAAAAGAAAAAAAAACATCACTAAACTGAGGTGAAGAATTCAAAATTATCCTTGAGGTAAGATTTCATACTACTTTTATATATATTTTTTTTTTAAAAAGACCATCTGTACAGTTATAAAAATTGGGTGTATGCATTAATTCATGCGGGGTTTTTTTCCGAAAATTAAGACATTACTGTGAAAAAATTGTTATATATTTAATGTTCAAAGTATCGTCCATCGAAAACTATGATGCTTGCCAATCTTTCTGGCAGCTTGTGGATCCCATCCCAAAACCACTTCTCCGGCTTGGAGGTCAAGAAAGAGACGAGCCAATTTCTGATACCCTGTTCTGAGGTGCAGCATACGCCGGTGATGGCATTCTGCATTGAACTGAACAAATGGTAATCGGAAGGTGCTATGTCGGTGCTATAAGGCGGTTGAGGTAGAACTTACCCACCCACAGTTTCTCAAATAGCTTTTAACTGGGCTTGCAACATGTGGCCGAGCGTTGTCATGATGAAAAATTATTGATTCGTGTCTGTCTGGTCGCATATTCTGATCGTGTTTCCGCGTTGGCCTTTTTCAAACGAATCAATTGTTTTCGTCTGACCCCCATTGATCGCCTGACCCGATTTCAATAGCTCACAATAGAGCACACTCTTGTGGTCCCACCAAATACATAGCATAACCTTGGTACCACGGATATTCGGCTTTGCCGTGGATGTCGTTGGTTGGCCGGGTTTCACATATGATCTTTTGCGCTTTGGGTTATCATAATGAATCCATTTTTCAACGCCAGTGACAAGCCGATGCAAAAAACGAAGAAGAAAGAAGTGCAATGAGATAAAAAGAAAAACTGGACAACTAAAGGAAGGGAAAAGGAAGCAGGGAAATAAAATAACTGAAATAAAAAGAAAAAATCAGTACAGTAAAGAAAATAAAAAGAAAAAAACGCAAAAATGAGGTCCAGGGAAAACTTTTCTCGAAGTAGTACTCTGTACAATTTTTTTTTTTTCAAAATTACAACTTTGTAAACATAACCTCAATTTTTTACAGGTTTGAAGTATTAAGAAATGAAGAGAAAAATGGAAATGGAATGGGAAAATAAATGAAATAAAAATAGGAAGAAATAAAAGAAGGAATAATAATATAAATGATAAAAAAAAAACACCATGAAATAGAGCTCCACATAATTTAAGGTGAGTTTTTTTTTATTTCATTGTGACCAGTTATTATTAAACAAAAAATTTGCTGCTACAAACTCAACACAGGTAAAATAATAGCAGCTAATATATGTATAAATAATATAATATATAAGTAAAAATATGGAATGCATTCAAAAGTTAAAGTTTCAATGCAAATTTTTTGACGTCAAATCCTTTTTTTTCATGAAATTAATCTATCTAAATACAGTATTTGGTTAACGGTTTACTTTAAGAAAAAATCGATTGTAGGTATATTAGAATAGAGTTAGTATATATGTATATTTTTGATACTTTTAATTTCTTCGAAATTTTTCATTTACGAAATGGGCACTTTGGCAGAAATATATATGTATATGTATATGTATGTATTTATAAAGGTAATATAGTTTACTTATATATATATATATATACAAAGTAAACACACTATGATAGTTTCATGTTATGTTATATAAAATATTTGAATATATGTAGTTACTTAAAAACTAGGAAAGGGAAGAATATTTTGATTCACGGTTAATATACAAAATAAAATTTCCAAATACATTTCGAATCAAAGTTTACTCTGACGAAAATTGTTAAATTAATATAGACGAAATTATCAAAAAATCTTCTTCCCTTTTATAAAGCTTTACTGAGCTCATGGATTTTCCGCTATTATATACAGTTATTTCTCTTACTTACATTTGTAATTTTAGGTATTTTTACTATGGCTATTTGTTGTGTTTGCATAATTTTTATTATATTTATTTTCATTTATTTATTTATTAATTTTTATTTATTTTCATTTATTTTTATTTTTTTCTTAGCTACACAATACACTTAGAAAAATTTAAATTTTGCACATGCATGTACATATGTATGTATGTCAAATAAATATTTTTTTGCTTTGCTGTTACATATGAAAGAGAGCTGTTGAGTACAGTGGAAGCAGACTTCTTCTGTGTATTTAGTACACTAAATAAGAAAGTATTTCACAACAAAATTTTTCCCAGTGTACGCCTACTTAATTTTTTACATAATTACATAAATATTTGTATTTAATGATGAACTGTTTTCATTTTTTTTCTATTTTACTATTAAGTATGGGAGGAGGAGCTCGACCGAAAATTGCTTTAACGGTTACAAAATGCCAATTAAATATATATATGTATGTATATAAATATGTTATTAAGGAAACCGGTATTTTTGAAATTTTAATTTTCATATATGTTTTTTTTTCTTTTTTAAATTTTGCGCTTAAGCGTAAGAATTTCGTATTGTAACACTTGAGATGATTTATTGCACTTAAAAATTATTTTGATTGTTATTTAACGGTATTTGATTACTTTGTGGAGAAATAAAAATAATAATCATGAAATAATTAATTTTGTTTTCTTTTCAATAACATTTTTAAATAATTTTTTGAAATTATTATATAATATATATTTAATATTATAACGTTTTCCACTGTTAATGACTTTATATATATATGTATGTATATATATATATATTTCGATAATTATAAATATTTTTTTGGTATAAGAATATTGATTCATGTCACGCCTAACCTAAACTCACCAATTTGGAGTACATATATGTATATAGCTCTATTTTTATTTTTATTTTATTTTTTATTTTTCTAATTTTTCTTATTTACAAACACATACATAAATACATTTGTAGCTAAGTTTTATATAGCTAACTAGTTGCATACATATAAACACTTTAAATTTAATAGCTAAGTAGCATGATGTAAGATATTATATATTTTTATAAAATAATTTTTATAGCTATTTATTATCTATACATACAAACATACGTTTTTTTTCATACATTTCTATACTCTAAACACGCTCCATACGCTTTTCCTTTATTATCCTTTTGTTGTGCGCCGATTTTATCTTCCATTTTATAGTACTTGTAAATTCTCGCAATTCTTAAATTTCGAATCCTCTTTACCCAGTATCCATGTGAGCATTTGACGCGCTTTCATGCTGGCCAAAACAACGCTGCGACTCTTGTACCAATGCGCTGGCGAGGAGCAACCATCGCGATTGCCCTGTGTGGGTGGGAAAAATGTTTAAATTTTATATAAACTTTAATTGCATTGGGATGTCGATAAAAGGGGAAAGAGAATTATGGTAAAATGTAAAAAAAAATTTTTTTATAGTAAAAACAGTTGAGTGTAGCTTATAATTTGTGGATATACAGAGGTTTTTAGTTTTTATGGACAAACTTACAGCAGGAGCTTGGAGTATATTTAAAATGTACATCGAACTATATAAACATATATATATATATATACAAATAATTAAAATATATATTTTAACATATATATTTTAACACGTATATTTCAAAAGTCTCAGTCGGTACAATGAAACTGGATTTGTTATTTTTTCTCAAAAAAATAAAAAAAAAATAAAAAAAATAAAATAAAAAAATAATAATAATAAGGTGCGTTTCAGTATCTGAAAACAAGAGCTTCTTTTTGAGCATTTCTTGCAGCATTAAAAAAAATAACTAGTGATTTTTTAGAACAAAAATGATTTAAAAATTGCTTCAAATAATAAGACCGCTTCCGCTGTGGTAAAAAATAGCTGAATAATGATTTTCTCCGGGACTTTTCGCCATGTTTTATTAAACATTATTAAACAATAGCTTCTTTCAATCGATTCTGTAAATTTTTTTCAAAAGACTGCCATCCTGTCTGGACCATTCCAAAATAATTGCAACCTCAAAGCGGTAACCAAGAATACGAGGGGATTAACAAAAGTTCGGTCAGCTGATGACTTTCAATTAGTTTTTGTTAAATCTAAAAACACGAAATCCTTTACAATTACTTTAGTTGTCTTCCTTTCAAATGTTAGAACGATCGACTGAAATGGAAACGAGAACACGCAAGATAGCTGAAGATAGGTCAGACGAAATTCCATCACCAACGCAAATAGAAATTCGCCATGTGATTCTATTCGGCTTTTGGCGTTACTTACAGTAATTATAAATAATCAGTGAGTGCTAAATTGCACCGTTTATAGAGACTATTTCTAAGTAGTTCAGAGCTTCCACACCGGATTTATTTCCTTAGAGAACGAGCCCCGAGAAGGTCGACCAAAATCTTCCACTGATGACGTCACGCTAGCTGTGGTGAACTGCGCTTGAAAGGCATGGCTGTATCGGCACTGGGATACACGAAGAATTCAGCTCGATGGATACCACGAATTTTAAAGGAGGCTCAAAAAGAGACGCGTGTGCATTTTGATCAATTTTTTTCGAAACAAATTCAAAAATGGTCAGTCTGGCAGTTTCAGTAAAGTCGTTGCTGTATGTATGGAGCCCTTGCTCCTGTTGGGCTCCCACCCCCGTAATATCTAAGCAACGAAAATCAACAGCGAAGCTAATGATGTCAGTTTACTTCACTCGATCTAAAGTCGTAGCTGCTTTTGAACTGAAAAAGCGTCAGACGATAACTGCGTAATGGTACACCGAAGAGCGCTGCTATCTTTACCTTCTCAAATGTTCGAACCATTTCGTGTGTCTTATAAAGGCAACGAGATTTCCTATTTTCGCCGAGGCTACCTCAGTGAGACAGTTGAAGATGTGTTTCCCGAGAAATTTGTGTCGCATAAATGTCAAGGTTGGGCAGTGACAGAGAAACTGTTTGATAGACTCCTCTTGTTCTTCGTCTGTAAAACATTCTATGGCCTATTTGGTATTGTTATGCCTGTTGTTATGTTATTGAAGAATCGGTCTAGAAGGATACGATATCTTGATAATATCGCGTGTAACACAATACTAGGTCCTAGACCCCATCTTTCTTACGTTTTGCAAGCGTTAAGTTCAATTATTGTCTTTTTTGACTTTTCTGCCGCGTTCCAGCTCCAGTTAAGTTTGCTATCTAAGATTATCCGGAGATATTTGACTTCGGTAGAGAGAATAATCTCCACTCGTTTTAGTTTAGATGGTTTAAAAGGAGGCGGTTTCGGTTTAAGCTTAATCTGATTACTTTCCGAGTAGTGATACTGGGCATTCCAAAAACGTCCTAATACGTATTTTGCATAAAAACTTGGGTCTTTAGTTCTCCAAAAATATGGTGCCTTCACTGATTGGGTTCTTGAAATGCTTGAAAATGATCCGAAAAACCATCTCGACGGATGAGGCCCATTTCTACCTACATGGCTTCGTCATTAAGCAAAACCCTCGCATTTGCGACTAGGAAAACTCAAGATTCATTGTTGAGAAGCGTCTCTATCCTCAACGTGTAACAGGTGCGATTTATTGCCCGGCGAGCTCACTGGACTTTTCTTTTTCGAAAATGAGACTGGAACAAGAGTTACGGTGTATGGATTGCGCTATCGCGAGATGATTAATGATAATTTATGGCCTGAATTGGCTGGTATTGATCTGGAAAAGGTTTAAATCCAATCCAATCGATATTTTTAGGGAAAAGTTTCCGAATCGTGTTATCTCTCAAAGAGGTGCTCGCAATTGGCCACCGAGATCTTGTGATTAAACAACTTGTGACTTCTTTCTTTGCGACCATGGAAAAATATAGTTTACGCCAACAGTCCAAGATCGATTCAAGACCTCAAAGATTGAGTTCGTAAGGCTATTGAGGGCATACAGCAGTCACTTTGCGATTTGGTGCTGGAAAACTTCATAAAAACGATACGAAGCTGGCGGCCATTCGGCTGATTTCATTTACATTATTAATGGCATATTTTGCTCTTTACATTAAAATAGCCATCCGATCATTGATCTCAAAAAATTCCATTTTTTTCGATATCAAAACAACATCTCTTAACGGTAAACCCTGTTCAATTATAGTGCAAGTGTCTTGTGATTCTAAAACGCACCTTTTTATTAAATGCCTTGCAAATTATTTATAAAAATATTTTAAATATTTAAACGGGTCTTTTAAGTTTAAGGTTTTTTAAGTTAAATAGTAAATTTTCCAAAATTTAAATTTTCAAATATATACATATATAAATATTTATGTTTGGAGGATTATGTAAACTTTCGCTCATTAGCAGGAAATATGCTTAGAGCGAGAAGAAAACGCGCTAAACTAACTACATATGTACATACATACAGTGGGGTTTTTATTTATACATGAACATGTAGATAGATATGTACGAGTATATGTAAGAAATAACGGATTCCAGCATCTCATAGCTCAGTTTTATTTTTTGTTTACTCACCAAATTTTCAGAATTTTTTTCATTTACACAATCAGCGCCATTTTGCTCTAAAGCTTTATCAATAACCTTTTCTATCTCCTTCTCCTTCTCTTTTTCCTTCTCCTTTCCTTTTTCTTTTTGTTTTTCTTTTTCTTTATTTTTATTATAATCTTTATCTTTATGTTTCTCTTTGGATTTTTTAGAAGCAGTACGTAAAGTACCATCGGGCGTCTGTTAGGGGCGGGACGGTGATGGGGTTGTGGATACATATATTTATATATATGTATGACAGAGGAAGGTCGCAGGGACACAAAATAATTTTTTTTTTTTTAATGAAGGTAAATAGAATTAGGCCAATCGATTTCATCAAGTTAATTGGATAGGTATGTGAAAGAATTGTGATTACGTGGAGAAAAATAATTTTGGTTTCGGAGGAAGAATAAAGAATATTTCGGAAAATTTGAATAACGGTAATGGCATTTGTAATTGTAATTGTAATTGTGAGGGTGATAATAATGTTAAGGGGAAATGGTGATGTTATGGTGTTGATAATGATTATAGTAATTTCAGTTGTAATGATAATGGTAATTGTTGGTATTAGTAATGGTAATGGTAATGGTAATTGTAATGGCAATAGTAGTGATATTGGTCATTGTAATGATTTTGATAAAAGTAATTGTAGGAGTAATGGTAATAATAACAGTAATAGTAGTGTTAATGGTAATGGTATTGGTAATGATCATTTTAGTGGTAATTATAATTGAAATAGGAATGGTTGTGGTCATTGTAATGGTTTTAGTAATAGTAATTGTAGGGGTAATGGTAATAATAACAGTAATAGTAGTGGTAATTGTAATGGTTTTATAGTAGTTGTAGAAGTAATGGTAATAATAAGAGTAATTGTAGTGTTAATGGTAATGGTATTGGTATTTAGTGGTAATTATAATTGAAATAGGAATAATAGTGGTCAATGTAATGAGTTTGATTGAAGTAATTGTAGGAGTAATGGTAATAATAACAATAATAGTAGTGGTAATTGTAATGGTAATGGTAATCATAATTTGAATAGTAATAGTAGTGGTCATTGTAATGTGTTTGATAAAAGTAATTGTAGGAGTAATGGTAATAATAACAGTAATAGTAGTGGTAGTTGTAATGGTATTGGTAATGTTAATGATAATGGTAATTATAATTGAAATATGAATGAGAGTGTTCATTGTAATGATATAAGTCCAAGCAATTGTAATGGTAATTGTTATAAAAAAAGTAATGGTAATGGTAATGAAACAATTGGTAATGATATTGGTAAACGAAATTGTAATTGTCAAAAGCAATGGTAATGGTAATATTAATAGTAATGGTATTGGTAATGGGTTATGATACGGTATTTATAATGGCGTAGATATTCATTACAGCGATGATTGGTAATAAAATGACCGTAAAAACGAAAATGCATGAAGTGACGATTGTACGATTATTAACAATAGTTATCGATAGCATGAATAAAGTAGAAGAGCAAGAAGAATGAGAAGCATTAATTATTACAGAAGAATGCATTATGTCAATAATATGAAATTGTGAGAAAATTGTAGTAATGTTTGTTGTATTTTGTTAAAGTTATGTGGAAACCAATTCGTTTTTATTTTACTCTCTTTGCACCTAACACAGTATGCAGGCAGACAGTTTTGTTATAATTGAATTTACATAATTTTGATTTATATTACACCTGCTCAGCGTTTGCGTTAAATTTTCTATATTTTTTTTTGTTATTTTAACTAAAGTACACACACGCATACATACAATATATAATTATGCTTTTACTTCCTCACCAAGAGCATACAAACTTACAAGAGTACTTTAGGCCCCCCCCCCCCCACACTTACATGCAATAAATTTTGATCCTTTTTGAGACGAATTTGTGTCAATGTGCCAGCCAATAAGTCGTCACAATTATGATTGATGCCCGCCGAGACCTCAATGAATTTGGCGCCAAAGGTGCAAGCGACGCATTTGCCATCTGTGAATAAGGAGAAGATACAAAAGAAGGCGGTGAAAAAAGTGGTAATGAAATCAGAATTAGAAGAGCACGAATAACAAAAGTAAGCAGAGAAAGGGAATAATTTGAGCAAGCAAATAAAACGTTTTATAAGCGCAGCAGAGACTTGAGGGAATTCCAAGGCAACTTGACGTAAAACCAAAAAAAAAAAAAATAAAATTATAATAATAATAGAAAAAAATGCTTGTAAACTCGGCATAAAGTTTGCTTAGCAAGCATTTTCAAAAAGTTCGCTTTCTTTAGCTGTCTCAACAAACTTTTCGCACCGCATTGATTTCAATTCACACTCATCTGCTGCTGCACAGTTTTTTTTGCTTTCTTTTTCGTTTACATTTCATTGTTGTTCTTACTTTTACAAGATTTCTAACTGCGAAAGTTTTTCTCATGTTAATCAGATTTTTTCATTGTAGTTTTATGCACTGAATTGTTGTTGTACGGCAGCAACTGGTTGCGAAAGCTTGTCATGTTCAATGGAACAGTTGAGTGTAGGTGAGCTGAGTAGGTGAGTAGGTGAGTAGGTGAGTTGAGCTGAGCAGCATTAAAATGAAATGTCTCTGTTGTTGTTTGACATACACAAAAACCGTTAAAAAAGCATAAAACTCTTTCCCACTACAATTGTGGGAGGGAATACACGATGGTGTTGTCCATTTCGTGGTTTCCAAAGTCCATGACTATAATTTGATAGCTGTTAAATTTAACTTAGAGTCAAGTTTTGGTTCAGTTAAAAGTCAGGCGTTTATGAAAACGGATTGCCTAACGATCGCGCAATGCGTTAAAATTATTAAAATCTACAACAAAAAGAGAGATTATGGTGCGTATAACTTGAAGAGACTGCAACGGTAACAAGTAGTGTGAGGCCTGTCTATCATCATTTTACAAGTTTCATCTCAAATATCACTTCTGAAAGTGTAGCCGTAGACCAAAATGTGTAAAGTTCTCTACTTTTTCAAGAGCTGAAACTTTGCTATGGTACATTATGACGTATTTTCCACTTGGACTTACTACACATACATCCATATAGAGTCCCGCTCACACTACAACTGAAGCCAGCTGACCATTCACAGCGCCGTACATACATCGATTGCGTGCTTGAACCTCAAACAGTGGACGGCGACTTACCGAACAAAACTTTCTTTAACGTCGAGACAAATTTCTCACTTGGGGCTCCTAGAGTCCTCCGCTTTTTGGCCCGGAGTATTGATTGGAGCTTAATTCTTTGGAGAGGCCAAAGGGAGACTGACACTGTCAGTTCGAAGCGTTATGGCCGTATGATAACCGTCTCCTTTTAGTCTGCCATTGAGCAAAATGACTTCGTCAGTAAGCAGTTTCAAGAAGTTGATGCCACATGCCACACGAAAAAAGCGAATAAGGTTTTATTGCAAGAGAGATTTCTCGGTCGCGTAAAAACTCTTGCTGGCAATGCAGGCTGGCCACCGACTCGACACTGTTGCTATTTGTTTGTGGACTACGCATAAGACCGAATTTATGCGTATAAACCTTTAACTCTTTAGCGGAGCAACATTCGTCAAGTCGTGGCTGAGATGCCGCCCAATATGTGTCGAAAATTGATCGAAAATAACCTCAAAGGAATCGAAAATTCAAAAAATCCACAAGGCAGTCATTTGAATGATATACTCGTAGTATTTCTAATATAATGCGAATGTTTACATTTTTCGAAACCACAAAACGGTTAACCCGATTTAGAGAAATTACACTAATATGCCATTTGACGTCTTAATTGATTCTGAAAGGCTTTGCTTTAATTGCCCGTTAACACCCTCAAGCGAATGCACCACTGCAAGCCCACTAATTAACGTGTTTTCAAGTGTGCGTAAAGCCCACCAATTAGCTACTCGTCGGTGTACCGCCATAAAGTATGCTAGTGGTGTGCATAAATTTGTGAAGCAAATAGAAAGCTTATTCAAGCATGCAATAAATAACGGTTAATGTGCCAAAGTTAGCGCTTGGTAATCAAAATTATAAAACAAAAAATAACTTAATTATTAGCGCATTGAGAAATTTTTTTTTCTAACATTGTGAAATGCATTTTATTTAACGGTAATGGAAATGAAAACATTTTTCTTAGCCCCAAAATGCATTAAGAATGGCTTTAGTATAATAATATTATAAGATTGTGGAGCTGTTGTTTCGGTTTTAGAACTTCTTATTTTTGGGTTTTAATTTTTCTTTTCATTTTTCAATTGCATAGCATAACTTTAGGCGTGATATGATTGGAATAATAAGTCCATCATTGTCGTAAGTTAATTTTTTTTATATTAAAGTAAAGCAATATGTTTTGTTCTTGGATTAAAGTTATTTTTTAATGTGTTTTTGAAAAAATTTGTTTTATTTTAATTTGAATAAAAGTGATATTTTCACTTCTCTCATTCATAATAAATTATTTCAAAACCTGTCTTCTATTAATACATTGGAATGTTCAAAGCTTGATTGATCTGCATTTTCTCAAAATTGTTTTGTTTTCAAAATTCGTTCAATATTAAAAATAAAAATCATATTTTGAAAGCTAAAAAGTTAGATATTTTTTGACAAAAAATGTAAAATTTTTTTGTGTAAAAATTTAAATATTTCATTTTTAAAATTTTTAACTTTTATTTTACTTTCCCTCCTTACCTTGCGAAGACACCGCGCGTGAACGTGCTAAATCAATTTTATTCGCTACTAAAATAATCGGACGTGTACGTATCAAATCCATGTCCTGCAGCCGTGAGAGAATGTGTTTGGCGCGTGTGAATGACTCCTTGTCAATGCAAGAGTAAATAAGGAGAAAAGCGTCAGCCTTTTCCAATTCATCCTGAAAAGAGTAGGAAATACTACTGTTTAAAAAAGAGCATAAAATCTTAAATCAAAATATTATGTAATAATTAAAAATAAATTGAAAAAAGGAAAAAAATATATTCTTTTAATTTTTATTTATTTTTTAAAACTTCCATAAATTAAAAAAAATACAATATAAAATTTCAAGCGCAAAACAAATTTTTTCTGCCCTTAAAAGTTTGCACAGACGAGTATAATGTCAGCCTAAATATAGGCAACATTTTCGCTTGGTAAAAAAGCTAGAGAAAATGTTATAATGAAAACGTTGCCTACAATTAGGCTCTAAGCCGGCGGATGTCGACACAACAGTACAACGTCATCACTTTGTTTCTGAAAGCTGTAATAGAAACAGAAAGATAGAGTAAAGTACTCAAGTTCGCAGACAAAGATTTGCATTTCATTATAGATGGTTCGAAGGTGAAGGGCGGTATGGAAACTGTCGTTTATTATTTTCAATTTATGATATAAAAACAAATCAAGTTGCCAAACAAATGCAGTATCTTTCAAGCCGAAGTATTTGCCTTAAAAACGATGGCAGAGCTATTGCGTGAAACTGGTCTAAGCAAAAGAAGAATTCATATTTATGTAAATAGCCAAGAGCGATTAAGGTCTCATTTTCATATAGAACGAAGTGATTGCACTAGGTAATGCGATGACAAAAAGGCTGGCGGAGAAAAGTGGGTACCGAAAGAAGCTGATGAATTGGCTGACAATGCAGAGGACGAAATTATGACTAAGAAGTCCCTCTCTAAGAGGTGAAATTAGAAATACGCTTCTTTTGACAAGTTACTTGTAACATATTTTGGGAACAAGCAAGGGGATGCCAATCAGCGTTATGCAGAAGATATGATGGCAACCTTGTACTAACGAAGAATAGGTCAAACTACAACCTGCTTGTAAAGCTATGAGCCGTGCAATTCATATTGGCTTTCGAATTAAGTCTGGATGATGATAATAAATGTAGCAGGCAGAGATATAGATTGATAAACTAATGTATTATATATGTAAAAAGTAATAGACAAAGTGCCAAACGCCTACGACAGAGAACAGCAAAGCTATTTAAACTGTAGAGTCAACATAGAGTTAACAGTTCAGCTGCTCCTATTTAGTAAATCTGTTAACAGTTTGAGCGTGGCCTCGTGTTTTGCGTAAGACCATCCAGGCAGCTTAACGCAGCCTACAATTAGGCGCTTTATAAATATTTTATCGAAGACATATGCCTATACCTAAAATTATAATGAAAATGTATTAAGCTGACAGGTCATCCTGGGTCATTTTTATATGGCTGATGAGAGAAATCGTGTCAGAAATCTACTCCGACCGAACCATTTGTTTTCTATGCAGATTATACTGTAAAAATGTTTAGTTTATTTTTTACGCTTTTGGGAAAAGACCGAACTATTTAATAAAATTGTTTTTATTGGTTGATTTACTTGACATTCGGCTTGTAGAGGGTTTCTAATTAGATTAGGAGGAATAGTACTATTCTTTTCAGCATCTGGACCAGGGAGCCACCTATTGGTGATGAAATGTATTTGAAATTTGGTTCACAGTTGACTTTTTGCTTTGATTAAAACAAATAATACTCTTCTCAGCGGGATTCGGACTAAAGATCGAACAATTGAAAAAAAAAACGAATTTATTTTTACTTGAAATAATTTTTTTACTGGAAAAGGTTGGATTTGGTTGGATTTTTGGCTGACAAGCTTAATTGTATATTTTTGCTTCATACATATGAACCAGAGAAGTGAAACCAAATTCGGTTTTGCGCTAAATATAAAAAATATTTTATTTACAGGAAAGGGATCACTAGCAGCCCGACCTGCTCCTGGGTGTGTTCGCGTCGTGATATTATTATTCAGCGGCTGCGGGTTACAAGCTATTTTTATACGCTCTACTTGAGTGTGAATAATAATAGAACCGAATGATGCGAGCGGCCTATCTTGATCTATTCCTATTGAAAATCTCGAAAAAGACTTCGAGCAGCGAAAAAGTTTCCCACACATACAAATAAGCAGTTAGATCAATGAAATAATAATAAAAAAACTGCCTGCTTATAATTTTTTTGCGGTGCTTTACAACGCCACCTAGAAGAAAATAGTACTATGTACAGATAACCGCATAAACTTTTGGCTGGGGCTACTATTTAGGTATTTTCATTTTGGTTATTGGTGTGGCTGAGCTTCGAAACCACGGCCTTCTACTACTTGGCTACAAATATAAGCTGAAAAAGTGTGAGAAGAGCGGCATCAATATCTTTATTTATGTGTTTTTTCATTCAAAATATGTAGAAAAAGGTATCGTATACACTTTCTTTTTTTTTGTTGTAGAGAAAAAATTTTAAATTTAAATTTTCTGTATTTAAAGGAAGTTCGGCGTAGCTTTAAAATAAAGCAAAAAGATTAAAAAATAAAATAAAAACTTTTGTGCGAACACATAAAATTTGCGCCTTTGGAAAGTTGGCAAACGAAAAATATCGCATGACAATTGTAATATATGGCCACGAGCACGACGAGGGATACAAAAACGCAACACCCCTCAACATTGGCACCTGCACCAGGTATACTTGTAGGCGCATGCAGACCCTTTTTTCCACTTAAGCGCACTTTTCGCCTGAAAATGTTTAATAAAGACATTCGTGTATATGTATGTGTATGCGTTAGTATTGTGAAATTTTCAGCTCACGTTTGATTTCGTAAAGGCAAAAAAAAAATAAAAAAAAATAAAAATAAAAAAATATATTTTGACCCTTGCTTGTTAATGTCGAAATGCGCGGCTGCATAGCGAGCAAAGCAAACACAAAAATAGCGAGCACAACAAATTCGTTAAATATTCGTTTAGTTGCGTCTGTGAAATTGTAAACATTTTATATTAATTTTCAAGCTTTAGAATTTTTTAGTAAAAAAAGTAAAAATATCTCAATTTGCGTTGGTGACATTTTCGTGCAAATTTTCGCTTGTTTTTGCATTTTCTTGCTGCGTCATTCATTGCATTGTCTTTAAAGTGAAAAAATTTGCTTACGTCATCACTTTGACAAAAGTGCAATTTGTTTTCGGCGCACCTTCAACTCATCCATCTACTTATCTATTATATGTATGTATATGTATGTAGGTATATATGTACATAGTGTATACTTTCTTACATTACGTCGCATTTTCGTATTTGGCAGTTGGCCAAAGCGGTGGCACTCGTCGCTGCGTCTGCATTATTAATGTGCTCATTGGCTGATCATTGTTAGATGTTATTTGTGGATTTTCATTTCAGACTGATGTGCTGGTCTGAGACAAAGTGTATACTAAATATATGGATGCCCTCATATTAGGTCAAGTAAAAAGTTCGTTCGGTTTTTTATTTCAAAATATGATAACTTTGTTTACATTTGTCCGATTTAAGTCAAATATGCGCCGTTTTGTTCGAAAATTTCTCGCAAACTCTTGCAAATGAGATGCCAACTTCATTATACCCCTCTCGCAGAAGGCTGCGTCTCTATTGGTAAAACACTCGGAGAGCCAATTTTCACAGGCCTCTCTTGAGGCCAACTTCTCACCATTAAGCGCGTTCGCCATGAACAGGAAAAGATGGTGATCACTATGTGCCAGGTGCAAACTATAAGGTGGGTGCATTAGGACCTCCCATCTGAGCTCCTGGATCTGCTGGCGCATCACCAAAGAGGTGTGAGGCCTGGCGTTGTCCTGATAGAAGACAATTCGGCCTGTTAATCAAAGACGGCAACTCCTGAATGAGCGCTACCTTCAAGCGGTCCATTTGTTGGCAGTAGAGGGCCGTATTGAACATTTGGCCATAAGAGAGCAGCTCGTAGTATATGATTTCTTGCCAATCCCACCAAACACCCAGCAAAACCTGGTGCATCTTTGACATCGAAATTACCGGAACGGAACCTAGCAAACCACTTTTGTGCTACACGTTCCTTTACAGTATCGGGCCCATAAACTAAATAAATTTTTTCAGCCGCTTTGGCTGCTTTTTTGCCTTGATTGAAGAAAAATTGTGAAATATAGCGAATTTTCTGTTTGCTGGTGTCCATCTTTGACGAGCGCTCACAACGTACTGAGTCAATCAATCGAAGAACTGTCAAAGACAAACTTTTAGCGCGAATTCACACGTTTTCAGTGCCGTATAGTAGGACATGATGCGACACGCAACACTAGTACTATGGACAATAACGTCATCTCTTAGATAAGAAAACGAACGAACTTTTTACTTGACCTAATATGTCTGTATTTTTTTTCATATATAGGGCTATCTACTTCGGGGTTTCAAAAGTATAAACTGAACTGTAAAACCAAACATGTTTTGTTTTAGTTGAGAGCCAAGCATTAATGAATACTAGTACGAAAATGACGATTCAAATGCGGCCGCAATTCGGACGATTTTCGACCAAAATTTTCTTCACCGACGAGGCAAACTCTCACCCGGAGGCATGTAGATAAGATAAATTGTCCCATTTGGAGATCCGAAAATCCTAAAACAATTGAAGACAGGCCGGTACACAAAAAAAACTTACTGTCTGCTGCGTTCTTATGTCCGGAGGTGATATTGGACCTTAATTCTTTGGAAAGGACAACGGGAGACTGACACTGTCAGTTCGGAGCGTTATGGGCGTATGATAACCGTCTCTTTTTAGCCTGCCATCGAAGACCGCGATTTCAACATTATGTAGTTTTCACAATATGATGCCACACAAGGCTTTATCGCAAGAAAAACTTCTCGATGTCAATTTGGACGCCGAAATCGTGCGAATAGACATCGTTGGACTTTTTTGTGGTACTACGCGAGAGATCGGATTTATGCAGATAACTCTTTAACTCTTGGTTGAAAATTACCTTAAACCGATTGAAATTTTGCAAAACGGTTCACATATATTGCCAGGGTTCCAACTTTATAATAAATAAAGGAATTTTATAAAGGAAGTTTTATTTGAAACCACAAAATGAATAACCCTATACAGTTGTATTT